CTGCCCCAGCGTGCCGCTCGCGTGGCCGCGGGGTTCGCCGAGCCTTCCCGCAGCCGTGGTGCAGCACTCCCAGCTCTTCCTGGCAGATGCTTGGCCGAGGCCGAGCCGGCGCTTTGTGAAGCTTCAATCCCGTGATGGTGTTTGCTTTTGTTTCCCTCTAGACACTACAGCAACAGGAGTGCAAGCTTCTCTATAGCCGAAAAGAGGGGCAGAGACAAGAAAATAAGAACAAAAATAGATATAAAAACATCCTACCATGTAAGTATTCAGATTCTGCTCCGTACCAGTCGCTCTTGCAAGTTTTCATGCTCAGTGTCCCTGTCCCCAGGGGCTGTCTGCCCCTCTCCACACACCCTGGCTTAGCCTCTTCTCTGTGACAGTGCAGGGTAACTGTGGAAGTGGGCATGATGGCCTCAGCCACCAATTTCTGTGATGCTTGTTGCTGAGTAAAATTGCCACTGGGAGGCTTTGGGCATGTTTGTTTCCTTCTGTTAATTCAGCGAGGGATAATCTTGCCATCCTGTTAATTCAGAGTGATTTTCTTTTTTTAAGATTTATTTATTTATGCATTTAAGAACTGGGGTGCAGGGATGATGAGAGGATTCACCAGAGACAGGATGGGGAACAGAACAGGCAGATCAGTGCAGTTCACTGCTGAGGGGAGCAGCAGGAGAGGTCTGTCAAGCCCTGTGGGTCCACTCCGAGGCTGGGGATTGAACTTGCATTGAAGCAGCTGCCACTTGCTTGCAGTGCTGTTCTTTAACCTGCTGCGCCACCAGGGAGCGCCACAAACAACAAAAATTTTTTTTTAAAGATTTATTTATTTATGCTTATAGACCTGGGGCACAGGCCAGAGGTGTGAGGGGTGAGAGGATTCACCAGAGACAGAGCAGGGAGCGGAACAGGCCGACTGACAAAGTCCACTGCTGAGGGGAGCAGCGGGCGGGTCAGGAGAGGTCTGCCGCGCCACGTGGGTCAGCTTCCTGACTTGGGGTTGAACTCACGCTGCAGTGGCTTTGTAGAGCTTCATAATGTGCTGCTTCAACCTGTTGTGCCACCAGGGAGAGCCCACAAACAAAAACATTTTAATGTGGTGCACAGATGGATGCAGCGTGTGCCCAGTAAATTTACCCAGCTTACCGACGATGCTGGCGTATGTTTATGTAGTCCAGTGCTCAGAATTTTATTATTGAAGTTTATTGGGGTATATGATCGGTGTAGAGACCACCATGCTAATCTGTCATCAGGTTGAGCCAGGGTGCCAGTGACTGCGACCCGTGTGTGCATGCGCATGTGTGTGGTGCGACCTGCCCCTTTCTGAAGCCCTTGTCACACCCGGTGTGCTGGATCTCACATTCTGTGAGTGCTTGTGGTGTGTGTAGGTGAGGGTGGGAGAAAACGGAGCGCTTCTAATACTGAGAAAAGGCAGTGAGGAATTGCCAGAGAACCAGGCCAGGTCACAGCACAATCCTATTGACCTTGGGGAACCACATCCTTTCTAGGTCCAGGTTCCCGTCTCTGCGGGAGTGGGATGGTGCTCACTGGTGAGCGGAGAGCTGTGGGGTGAGGTGAGGAAAGCGGGCGGCCACCAAGCATGAGCAGACCTAGGGAGCGGGAAACTGCTTTTTTCTCCCTTAAAGATCCCAGTCATATTACTCTCCTCTGATTAGCATCTTACTTCTTTAAGAAGAGAAATCAAAACCAACAAAAGTTTTTTTATTATTATTTTAATTGAGATAAGGTTTGGTTTATACCACTGTATATGTTGTAGGCACACAAATTCAAATGTGTGTCACCACATCACACCACACCCACCAGCAAAGTACCTGTAACCCTCTAGCACAGTTCACTGGGTTCCATGTACCTTTACGCACGCACGCGCGCACACACACACACACACACACACACGCGCGTGCTTCTGGGAACCTCAGTTCTGTAGCTCAATTCCAAGGCTTTGTTTTGGTTTGCTTTTCTTTGTTCCTTTGCTTTGTTTCTTTACAGCCCACTTAGAGTGAAACTATTCAATGAGTCTTTGTCTTTATGGCTTATTTTACTCAATCTCCTTCAGTTCCATCCATGTCATTGCAAATGACTAGATACCGTCTTTATTTATTTATTTTTTAATAACTGAGTATATTCCATCGTGTATATATCTGTCGTCATTATCCGGTCATCCACTATTGGACACTTAGGTTGTTTCCTTACCTTGGCGATTGTAAATAATGCAGCTTGAACACAAGTGCACATCTGTCTTTTCAAATTAGTGTTTTTATATTCTTTGGATAGGTAACTCGGAGTGGCATTACTGGATCATATGATAAATTCAGTTTTGGTATTGTTAGAAGCCCCCAAACTGTTTCCTGTAGAGGCTGGGCTACTCTGCATTCCCACCAGCCGTGTATGAGGGCTCCTCTTTCTCCATATCCTCACCATCACCTGCTCTTCTGGTCTTTTTAATATAGGCCATACAAAACGTTATTCTGTGATAACTCAGAACTCTACTACTATTTCCAATAATACATTGCTTAAAGAAAGCACCTAGATTTGCTTTTGTACAGAATTTGCTCAGTTGATATGATGAGGATTTTGTCTTTTAGATATTGTATTTCATTCTTCTTCATTAAAAAGAAAGCCTTTTTTTATTATGGGAAGTCACAGATATTCAGAACAGAATAGTGTAAATGTAAGCGTGTGACCAAGGGGGCACCCAGGGGCCCTCAAACTTATACTCTAAGGTGGTGCAGCCATCCCTGCTCACAGAGGCCAAGGGCACTCTTAGTGTGAAAGATCTTTGATAGAAATAGGCTGCATAGAGAGAAAAGAGAAGAAAGGGTAATAGTTTCCCAATAAAACACCTGAGTTACCATCCCCTTGTGTGTAAATACTCAACCAAATAGGGTCGGGCTGAGGCAGGGCCGCTGAGGCCTGGAGGCTTGCCGCAAGTCTAAGGCACCTCTTAGGGGGAACCTTAGGAAAGAGGTTCTGAAGCCTGTTCCAGAAAGCTGGGCAAAGGAGATACCGCATCAAGATAATGACTGCCACCGTCGGCCTCCATGTCTCCTTCCCCGCCATACCGGGTGTGAGTCTGCACAGGGACGAGCTCTCTTCCCGAGCTCCCCTGCCTCTGCGTGACACAGCTGCTGGCCCTCAGCTCCACTCTTGGCTACGTGAGAGTGGGGCGCGTGGTGCCCCCTCCCCCTTTTCTGGAGCGACCGCTGTAGCATAAAGAACCACACAAGGCCAGCATCCAGCACCACAAATGCCAGCTCATGTCCCATCTTGTTTCATCTGTGCTTTGCCTGCTCCCCAAATTATTTTGAGGCAAGTGTCAGACGTGCTCAAATGTCATCAGACATCCTCAGATGTCATCTATACTCTTCCTAGAAGTTACTTAGATTCCAAGGGTTTAGACTCACAGTAAGTTACAAAAATACATAGAGGGTTTCCACACACCCATTACCCAGCTTCTCCTATAATGTGCTCTGTATCCATAGCGCACGATCGTCAGGAAATGTCAGGAAACTGACATTACTGCTGTATTCTGACAGACAGTTACGAGGCATCACGTGGTGTTCAGATGATTGTACTCATTGAGGAGTTAATTTTTCTGTGGCTTTATCAGGAGATGAGCAAAACTTGGATTATTGCCTCAGGATTAAAGGATTTGAGTTGATTTGTCCGGGAAAGGTGTGGGTGCTTGTGTGACTGGTCTCTTTTCTTCTAGTTGATCACACCAGAGTTGTCCTACATGATGGTGACCCCAATGAGCCGGTGTCAGATTACATCAACGCAAATATTATCATGGTAAACTTGCCCCTGTCTGTGCTTTCTGATCAGGCATTGCAAGTCAGACTTTGTATTTTCTTTCTTTTTTTGGGTGTGTAGAACTGGAGTATAGGCTAGAGGTGTGGTGGTGAGAGGACTCATCAGAGACAGAGTGGGGAGCAGAACAGGTAGATTGCATTGCTGAGGGGAGCAGCGGGGAGACAGGAGAGGGCTGCTGTGCCACGTGGGTCACTCCCTGGCCGGGGATCGAACTCAGGCCTTAGCGGTGATGGAGCTAGGACTTAACCCCTAGGCCACTGGGGAGGACAGGTTTTATATTTTCAATCCTTCCACGTGTCCTGAAAACAACTTTTCACCCTTCATGTCTAGCCTGAATTTGAAACCAAGTGCAACAATTCCAAGCCCAAGAAGAGTTACATTGCCACACAAGGCTGCCTGCAGAACACAGTGAATGACTTCTGGAGGATGGTGTTTCAGGAGGACTCCCGAGTGATTGTCATGACAACGAAAGAAGTGGAGCGAGGAAAGGTACGCGGCATCCTCAGCTGAGACGACAGTTTTAAGGTGTCCCACATGCCGGTCTCACCATGTTAAGTATGGAATGAGCAAATGAAGCTACCCCTGGCCCTCTGGGTCACATTGGAGCCTGATGTGCCTTGGTGTGACTTCTGTGTGTTCCTTTTGCTTGTCAACTGTACTTACCGTGATCTGTCAACATCAAGAAACAGTTGGTAGTATCCAAATACGTATTCATGTTGAAACTCTTACTGAAAGTATTGAAACACGTAACCGTGAAGGTGAAAGTTTGCCTTCCTTCCTCCCATATCCACCAATTGCAGTTCCCTCCTTCAGCATGAGAGCCCTAGTCGCCATTTGGAGCGTGCTCTTTCACAGTGTCTTCCACACCTGTAGCGTGGGCCTTCCAGACCTCCATCTCAGAGAGAGAAGTGTTTAGTGTCCATATCTGTACCCTCAGGCGTCTCTTGGTGCTGTTGAATGGGAGCTGCTGTATAAAAAACTGCTTGCATTCAGTGCTTTTACCCTGCATCTTGATTATTTTTGGCCTTTTTCTCCCACTAAATGTGCGCACTTCCCTGGTTAGTGCCTCTTGGCCTAGCTTGTTCTCTTTGGCAGAAGTGTTGCCTGCGCTGAGGGCCTGCTGCTGTCTGTCTGAGGTTTTGTGGCAGTGCCGTTCTGGCATTTGTGCATACGTGGCCAGTGTTCCCTGGGCCAGCTGTCAGGAGGAATTGCTAGGTGGGTGTGTGCTGTGGACTTTCTGTCCTCCAGTGCTGTTCGCTTGGGTTTTTCCCCAAGTAGTTTTCCGCTGCCTTCATCTCCCCCATTCTTCATGTTTTTAAAGTGGTAACATGCGAAGTCTGCAGAGGGGCAGACAGGTCTCCTTGAGTGTCAGCGCGGCGTGTTACCCCAAAGCGAGCCCATCCACGGGGGGAGGGGTGTTAATGTGGAAACGATCTATTTGTGTTCTAGTCAGGCTCCTGTTTGGATATCCTTTAATTGGTTTATCAAAAGTTGCATGGAATGTAGCTGTCATACGTCTAGGTTAAATTTTGGATCTTGACTTCTGTAACTTTTCTGTCAGCTGTGGAGGGCATATGGCGCTGTAAGACTCTTACTGTTGGACTGCCAGTTAGATTTGTAAGTAACTTTGAGGCCAGATCTTGTCATCATGAGCAGAGGCTTCCCACAGTGGCTCCTCAAGTGGTGTTAGACCTTCTTCGATTCATGGTCAAGTTCAACTATCTTCACGGCTTGTTTTTGCCTCAGGTGGGTGTCACCTGCCTAAATATGCAGACAGAAACAGTCCTCTGTCCTGTCTGGTGACTGGTTGTAGGGTGGAAAACCACCTGTTCTCAGCTGACGTGGGGGCTCTGGTGAGATAATTCTTGTGTCTTTTCAGAGGACTCAGTATTGGTCACTGTCAGAAGCGCTGCTGCAAACTCCTAGAAAGGGCAGACACTGGGCACCTGCTCTGCTCCCTCCTTCTCTGCTGTTCAAGAGGGTGATCTCTGGGCTGGTTTCCTCTCCCACATCTTTCTGGCAAACTGCCCTCCCCCGCCTCCAACACACACTCACAAGTGCACCGAGGAAAATCGGACCACACATCCCCTTTGGTGCCTGGGCTTTGATTTACACTTGATCTTAGCCCAAAGGCCAAGAAGTGACTGGGCTTTAGTTTACAGGCTCATACATTTTAGAATTTGTTTACCAAATTTGGAAAACTGGGAGGGGAGCTGAGGTGGTTTGCAGCTGCTTAAAGTTGCCGCAATCAGTTCAGAGTTGTGCTTTAATTCCTTGCTTACCCCAAGTCCTCTCCTGTGAACAAAAGTGCTCAGAATTGATTGGCCAGTGACAGTAGTGTGTACAAATAATATTAACACTTTATTGGGGGGTATAAAATGGCATCAGATGTGTCAGAGGTATTTGGACTGGAGGGAAAGTTGAAAGCAGCATAGTAATAAACAAACACGTAAGCCATGCCAGGAAAGAAATTGCACTATCTTGAATCCCACTGAAATTTCCTCCTTATTTCTAGCTTTATAATGGTGAATTTCTGTCTTCCTGACATACAAGGGAAATTTATCTTGCTGATATTTGTGTCTTCGTGATTGTGGGAAGTGAGTGGTATTAGGTAATTGCTTCCAGAAAAAAAAAAAAAAAAAAACCACCACCACACAATAGCATTCCCTGCCCAGGACACATCTCCTAAGAAATAGATCCACCTTTCGCTGAGCAAAATCCCTTCCTCCTTCCAGCGGGAATGACTTTCTTGGCGCCGTGTTTTCAGCCAGCTTGCTGCAAAGCCAGCAGCTGCTGCAGGCGCGGCGCTTCCCTGCGCCCTGGTAGGGAAGGTGATGCGTATTCGTGTGCCGAGAGGATCTGGGCATGCAGAAAGCAGCTGCTGCAGCCGGGACCGCCTTTCTGTGCTGGGGTCAGGCACACTTAGGTGAGGCGAGGCGCAGAGTCCCGCGACCCTGGTGCGGAAGGAAGCCGCTTGCCGGGCACCCACCCACCCCCAGCCCCACTGGCCTCCCGCACTTGACTGGCAGATGTCTTGCTCGATGGCTCCCTCACCGCCCTTGGTCCCCTCCACCCGCTGCTCCTTGACCAGCCCTCCTGCTCCTGTGGCCCGCCTTGGGCTGGGCGGCTCTGTGGAGGCTGCTTCTTCCCACTTCTCCCTGGTCCACCAAGAACCTGGGCTTCTTACTTGAATTCCTCGTTCCTTTGTATTGAAGACCCAGGTGAGGCGCGAGGGCGGCCACCTTCCATGGCATTTAAGCAGACCTGGACGTTTGTTTCCTGCTCCTTAGGCTTTTATTTCAGAGTTCAGAGATTAACTGTCTTTTCTTGGATCCCTTCCAGAGCAAATGTGTCAAATACTGGCCTGACGAGTACGCCCTGAAAGAATATGGGGTCATGCGTGTTAGGAATGTCAAAGAGAGTGCTGCTCATGACTACACATTGAGAGAGCTTAAACTTTCCAAGGTTGGACAAGTAAGTATATTGTCGTATCTTAGCGACTTTGTAACTGCGGATGGTCTGAGGGGCCGGGCACGGGGTGCCCCCCGGCACACGTTCGTGCGTCGTTCAGTCGTTCACTCGGTGATGCATAGCGCTGCCAGGGGCTTCTGTGTGCCGGGCCCATGCGGGCCGTGCCGTGAGGACGAGACACTTGACTGGCGCGTGGCAAACAGTACGGGCGCAGGCCTGCCCTCACAGAGCCCTGCCAGGCTTCTAGGCCACGGGGTGGCCTGTTGGAGGGTGACTGGCACTCAGGGAGGAGTGAGCAAGGAGGAGCACCTTGAGGGAGTGTCACTGAGCCCGGCCTGGCGCGGGAGCAGCCAGGCATCCAGAGCTTCTGTTGCAGCGGGAGCAGCTAGTGCAAAGCCCGTGAGGCCCCTTTAGTGATCAGGTTCCATGACAGGTCTCAGTTGCATGTGATTCAGGTTTGCCCCAAGGTGACTAACAAACTTTACAAAGTAGGGCTAGAGTCATTTTAATTTCGTGATTAGAGGTGCATAGTGAGTCAAAGTCTTTCGGAGACGCAAAGATGAGTGAAGCAGTCATTGTGGTGCAGGGATGCAGGGGCAGAGGTAGGGAAGGAGGAGCAGGTGGCCACAGCTGCAGGAGCGGAGCAGAAATGGGTCTTCTCTGTGTTCTGTCCAGCCTGAGGCTCGGGCGTCATCTGGGATGTGAAGAGAGTATGAGGAGGCAAAATATGTGAGGAAAGTGGGGAAGTATGCAGTAGCCGTTGGGTAGAGAAGGCAAGAAGTTCAGTCAGTTCTGGGTGTTGAGATGGTGACTTTGTGTGTTTAGTGACACCATTACCTGGGTGAATGATTTTGCTCCAAGGGCACCTCTGACCCTCAGGTATAAGACAGAGAAAGGTGAGTATTTGGGCTCATGTCTGTGTGGAGCTTTGCTGGCTGCCCCATCACCCTAGCCCACGTACTGAGGGGAGGGAGGGTCAGTGGGCTGGGGAGGGCCTGGAGGGGGTGGGACTCGGTCAGGAAGTTTCAGAGACATGAGAGGATCTAGAAAAGGGAGCTGTCAGCAGAGAGGTTTAGAGGGCTTCACACAAAGATTCCAGGCAGGGTCTTCTCCAGTTTTAGTGATAAGCCAGCCATCTGCCCCTGGCCGGAGCTTTGGAGCAGCAGGTGAGTGTTCTGCAGTGTCCGGGATAAGCTGGCCATCTGCTCGTGTCAGGGAGCCAGCCATGCCTCAGGGGCGGGACACGCCGGCCTTTGGGCTGGCCTCTGCAGCCTGGATGCAGGTGCTGCCCTGGGGCCTTCGTGTCTCTAGAGCTGCCACGCACAGGGGGATCTCTGCCCCCGTGTGAGGTTTCCCAGGTGCTGTATGTGATGTCGTTTAAGCCCCTGATCTTGAGGAGGAGCTGGGGCAGGCACTGCCGCGACAGTTTGTGGGAGCTGGGAATGCACAGCAGCTGGGCTGGGTGCTCGGTCTGGTCTCTCTGTCTCTTCTTGAGACCCCAGTTTGCAGTTCACTGTAACATCAGGAAAAGCTTTATTATGACACCAGCAAATTAACTTCACGTTAGTCAGGAAACGATCTTAACTGTGGTGTCTTGAAGATGCCTGATGGTGGACACTGGTGTGGTTTCTCTCCTCCCCACCCTCCTAACCCGTGTCGCTTAGCCAGGAGTGTGGCAGGCGCCCTGGTCTCGGGGAACCCAGGCGGGCAGTTCGGGCCTCCGTCTTGGTGGCAGTGTTGGCTTCGTTGCCTGCCAAAGAACGCGAGTCTCTTCCTGTCTGCTGAGCAGAGCAGTGGCTGTTTTGATTGCTCCTCACAGTGGTATCAAGATGCAAGTGAAGAAACTGAGGCTCAGATGTCCAGGACACGGTGGACGCGAGTGCTGGGACATGGCCCGCGTCTTGCCAGAACGGGTCTTGGGCACTTTGCATTAAGCAGACACGTGCAGTATCATGACTCATAATAGGTGTGTGTATTGGCGAAGAGGAGGAAGATTGGCTGGGAAAGACAGCGTGTCTTCAGGGGGCGCCCTTCCTCCGGCGGGAGCAGAGCCTGCCCCGAGGCGGGCCGCGCATGGTGAATGCGGACGCTGCCTGTGGGCCACGCAGAGGCGGCTCCGATCGTAGTTTCCTGAGGAACAGATCGCCCCCTAGACATCTTGGCTCTTCACAGAGGCCAGGAGCTGCCCCAGGGTTGTTAGCCAGCTCGGGGAGAAGAGCTCGGGGAGGCGTGTGAGGAGCGCCCTGACGTGCAGTGGGAGGGAGGTGCGTGCCGCCAGCCTCTCGGCTCTCGGGCAGGATGGCGACTGCTACGCCGCGACCCCTTGATTTATTTAATTCTTTTCTGGTTTTTCTTGGCTCTACTCCAGGGGAATACGGAGAGAACCGTCTGGCAATACCACTTTCGGACCTGGCCAGACCACGGAGTGCCCAGTGACCCCGGGGGTGTGCTGGACTTCCTGGAGGAGGTGCACCATAAGCAGGAGGGCATCACGGACGCCGGGCCGGTGGTGGTTCACTGCAGGTGAGCGCCCTCCCCGCTCCTGACTCCGGGCTGCTCCCCCGGCCCCAGTCTGCTAACTGCGGCCAAAACTTGCTCTGAAGCATTGTTAAGCTGCATCTGGGGATGTTTCGACCCCCAAATATATGTCTCGCAGATCTGCTAGATCCTGGGGGTAGGAGGAGACACAGTCCTCACTACAGGGAGCAGGGAGCCCCCAGTGTTGGCTGGGTTTTCTTTTTAAGGAGTGATTTAGGATTCATCTCTTCGGTTATGATTCTCTTCTCTTCTGCCATAGATATAAGATCTCTCTTTCCTCCTGATACTGTACTTAACTTGGGTCAGAAGTTTCAAATTGGGGCCCTCCCTGGTGGCGCAGCGGGTCACAGCACAGCACTGAGAAGCTACAGCCGCTTCCGCATGAGTTCGACCCCCGCCTGCCCCGGAGGTGACCCACAGGGCGCGGCAGACCTCTCCTGACCCGCCCGCTGCTCCCCTCAGCAGTGGACTTCGTCCATCTGCCTGTTCTGCTCCCCGCTCTGTCTCTGGTGAATCTTCTCACCCTCCGCACCTCTGGCCTATACCCCAGTTCTATGTGAATAAATAAATAAATCTTTTTAAAAAAAGAAAAAGAAGTTTCAAATTGTTCCCTATCGGGCCTCCAGGAGCCAGGCTTGTGGCTTCTGCACAGAGCTTGCAAGCTGCTCTGCCTGTTTGGGCTTCGTGGTTGTACCAGGAGGCTTAGCTTCCTGAATCTCACTCATCTGCTAGGCAAGCAGATGTGTGGGAAATTCTATTTGTTCCGTTTTTTTAAGTTGCTGGTTCTTGAGCACTTGCTCTATCAGACTCTAAACTCGGTGTTTTTCATGGATCACTCACCGACCCCCTGTGAGGTACCTGCTGTGACACCCAGCCACCAGTGGGCCAGGAAACCCAAGGTCGGGGTGGAGGGCCGTGCCTGTGCTTAGTCTTGGAGGAGCCAGGCCGAGCTCCGCCTAGATGGCCTCCAGAGCCCTGGAATTTGTCTATTGATGTATTGTTTAAATATAAATAGACAGTCTTATAAATGCTCCCTAGAGTGAATTGTTTCTGTTAATATTTATAGTTTGGTTTTGATTATGAACCCCACGAATGGCCCCAGTGTCTCTGCTCTTTGCCCACAGTGCTGGAATTGGCCGGACAGGGACCTTCATTGTGATCGATATCCTGATCGACATCATCAGAGAGAAAGGTGGGTCATCTGGAGGGCAAGAAGCTACAGTTGCTGTTTCAGGTTATGGAAGGATAGCGCTCATGAAAATAGCCTGGGTGAGAGAATTTGACTACTACAGAGTTTTCACAAACTTTGGCTGAAGATTGCAACTTTCAGGTATGTTTCCCAGAAAAGAGAAGTGATGCTGTTTGAGCTTTTGGCATAAAACAAAGTCGAGGGTCTGCAGATCCTGTGGGCTTCTGTGGGAGGTCCAGGGTGTCTCTTTCCAGCCACCTGAGCCTTGCTGACAGGGTGGGGCGGGAGGAGCCCTCCCCTCTGACAGCTGATCATGGGGTCTTCTGGGAGCGTCAGTGTTGGTCCAGAGATCAGTGCCGCAGCCCTGCGGTCACGTTCAGCCATTGCAGACTCCCTTGATCAAACCTCCCCACCGGCTCTGAGTGTCTCCTGATGCCAGTGCTGCTTGCTTTGTAGGCGTGGACTGTGACATCGACGTTCCCAAGACCATTCAGATGGTGCGGTCTCAGAGGTCAGGGATGGTCCAGACAGAGGCACAGTACCGGTTCATCTATATGGCCGTGCAGCATTACATCGAAACACTACAGCGCAGGATTGAAGAAGAGCAGGTACCAAGGCAGAGGGGCCGTCCTGCGGATTTTCATTCTCTTTTCTGGGCACCTTTGAGCAGGAGGGTAGATTCTGATGGGTGATCGTCTCTTTTTAGAAGTGGGAAATGCGTGCCCAGCAAGAAGGGTCTCTCGGGAGTGAGTGGTCCCTGCGCTGTAGCGCAGGCTGTTCCGGCAGGGGCGCCCCTCTGCCCTCCTGGTTGCCAGGGCTGCTGCCACACGGACAGGTCGGGATTTTCCCGCCTCCCATGGCAAGCCGAGAGTGCCAGCCCTCAAAGCTTGCAGCCTGTTCCAGTCTCAATCCAGGCCATATTTATCCTGGTGCCATCTCTTAAATGAATGCCTCACTCTTCCTGGCACGTGTGGTTTGAATTGCCAATTTGGTTGAGTTGGAAACAGTGAAATTTCAGTTTTAATAAGCCATGCATAATGAAGAAGAATGTGACATTGGAGCCTTTCCATTTGAAGCTATTCACGTCAGACACAAAGCCAAGTTAATTAGGATACGCTGATCCGAGGGAGATGAGAGAACCGCCCTTCGGGAGCCCCGCTGTGCTGCCACTGGGGAGAGTTGAGTCATCAGTGGTACTGGCCTGCCTCCCCCTGTTCATTGCCTCCCGGAGAACTCCGTTCCTCAAAATGAGAACTGAGCTCTTGTCAAAACAGTAACTGGCAAGATTTCTAGCCTGCAGAATAGCGGCCGCTTGGTTAGCCCAAGCGGATACTTACGTGCTGGTGTGATGGGCGCTTAGTCCACACAAAGACTAGATCAGATGGTTTCATTGCACTGGAAAAGTCTTCAGAAACACTGTGTGTGAAAATGTAGGTCAAACAACTAACAAGCCACAGGTTTTAAACTTGAGTGCTTTAAATTTTACTTTATCGTATGTTAAACACTGAACTCTTTAGGTGATTCCTGTTTATTACTGATTATTGTGTATTTGTTTTCCAGTTACACTTAATTTGATCCAAGAATAGTTTAAACATAAAGTTACCCAAGAACAAAACCTGTTCTGGATAGCTGGCAGTTGTAAAATGTTGATATTTCCCAAATGATGACGAATTGAGCGCCTTTAGGAGTAGATGCATTTGCTAAACAGGGATGAGTGAAAAGAAGCAAATGACAGGGTAGAGAGCGCAGAAGGCGGCAGAGAAATAGCGACAGTACTAGAAGGAAGAACACAAGTGCAGGCGGGAGTCAGCAGAAACGAAAATGAAGCAGGATGGGAAAAGTCTTTATATAAATGGCTCTTTCACTGTTGTTTACTTGGAAGTAGCAGATTTCCCTAAGTTCTGCTTACATTGTTGAAGAATTTTTATTTGCAAAAACAGTATGTGGAATCCCATTCACCAGCACTTCTGTGAAGGTTTTAATACACCAGAGCTATCTTCTCTCCCTATACAGGTCACATAGGTATTTATACATATCCTTTGATGTGTATTTATACAGTTATATTTTTGCTTGCTTCTTAAATATAGCTATATATATATATTTTAATAAAAAGACGGTAACTTGCAAACATTTACATCTTTTTCATACTCCTTTGCCTCTGAACACCAGAATATAAGCAGTAATGTTCTGAAGTCATGTTCCCAAGGGATGGGTAGAGGGAAGTGGGGGATAAGAGGGTGTTGTGGGTGGGAATAGAAAAGTAAGATCTGTTTTTTGAGTGTTGGGGCTTACAGGTATAGCAAGGGTTTGAGACTCAATCCCATGGTGGATGGGGATGCCACTGGGGATTTCAGAGGGGGAGGGTGACATAAAATGATCCTTATTTTAAAAATAGGGGTGGCCCGGGCTTGAGAGGGAATGGTTAGGGCTCCAGGCCGCTATAGCTGCAGGGCGACCAGCAGGTGATAACTGTGGGCAGTGTGGCTGGTGGCAGGGCTGATAGCCAGCCTGGAGAGAAGTGGAGCCCATGGGACCTGGTGAGCCTGATACTTGACCCCCGAGCGCACCCGACAAGCAGTCTCGCTGTTTTGTAGCCAAGACAGACAAAAAAAAAAAGCATTTTATTTCTGTCCTTTCTGCTCTGGCTTTTGGAACTTTTTAGTAATGGAAAATCAAAGGGTGTAACTGGAGTTCCTTTACAGAGAGACATTTAATACCAGATCATCTTGGAGTTTTGTGCCTGGGCCCTCCTCTGTACCTGGCCGTGCCGATTAGCAAGGCTGTAAGGTATTGTGAACATCACAGAAACCGTGATAACCGTGCTGCTGTGCACTGGCGTGGAGGCTGGATCAACTTCAGGACGTATTTAGGCCTCTAACAAATTTTTCTCCACTTTGTGTAACAAAACAGAGCAAAAATCCTCACCCCTTGGGAATCCTCATAACTCTGAGACAGCCTGGGACATCTTAGTACTGCAAGTGAACTCATCACAGTTGTGAATCAGCTTTACTTCCTTTTCTCCCTAAATTAGCTACAAGGCTCCTACATCTTAACGATTTTCCTTGAGCTACTTTGACTCATTAATTTCTGTCCCATTTGTATTAATTATTCTTCATTAGAAAATTCTTTTGTAATCACTCATGTAGAAATACTGATACTGATTTTCAAGAAAGGAATAGGAAGAGAAAAAGGGAGTTGCTTTTCAATGGTGTGGCGTTTCTTTCATGTAAGGTAAAATTTCTCAAGCTTTGCAGTTCAATAGGCTCTGTGGTTAACAATATCATACTGAACACTTGAAATTCTTTTAAGAAAATATATCCTATGTTCTGTGTGTTTTTTTTTTTTTTAACCACAATTTAAAGGTCATGAGTAGAAATTTAAGTTTATGCTTCAGGTGTTTTTTAAAACTTTTTTGGTATATTAAAATATTTTTTAAAGGTTTTAAGATTTTTAAGTTTTTGAATGTGTTATAAAATAATGTTCCCTGCAATTCTTCCACTTAATCTTTAATTAGAAACTCTTAACTTTAAAAATAATTTTTTATGTTAGTTGATACTACAGTGCTGAAAATCTGTGACTGTTACTTAGAGGTGACCCAAGACCTTTAGATATTTATAAATGGTTCTTTAAAAAATTGACAGTAGAGATTAAATAAAATATTTTCTCCTTGGATTTCTTTTTTGCAACTTTCCCCTGGTCCATAAGTTCTGCAGTGCTGCTTTTTACCAGTTAATGAATTGGTTTGGCTCTCTTAACAGAGGCCAGAGAATAATGGCTTAAACAAGACAGAAGCTCTTCTACTTTAACAGTTCCAGGTGTCAGGCAGTTTATGATGAGGGTTTATAGGGTGAATCTGCTCCACATTGTCATTCAGGGACCCAGGCACTTTGTCTCGTAGGATGTTCTCAAGGACATGGAGAGCGGACAGCTGCATGTGAATGTAAGAGACAAAATTTTTTTGTACAAGGTCAGGCCATGAATCTTTTCAGCTCTGCAGGCTACATATGGTCTCTTCCTTAGTATTATTATTTTTTTTAAGATTTATTTATTTATACATACAGAAACTGGGGTGCAGGCCAGAGGCTTAGTGGGTGAGAGGATTCACCACAGACAGAGTGGGGAGCAGAACATAGATGAAGGGAGCAGTGGGCGAGACAGGAGAGGTCTGCTGTGCCATGTGGGTCACCTCCCTGGCTAGGGATCGAACTCATGTTGCACAGTAGCTGTGGATAGCTTCATAGTGCCGTGCTTCAACGTGTTGTACCACCAGCGAGGGCCTCCTTTTTTTTTAAAAAAAAAACTGCTGAACTTGTGCTTTTACCTCACAAGCCTTATAAAAAGTCCCCAGACTAGATTTGCCCTTCTGCCCTCTAGTTTGCCAGCCCTTGGTTTAAGCTCATGATGTAGAAATCACACACTTCTTATCTGTAAAGCAGGGTTAGTAATAGCATTTATTGCAAGAGACTGTTGTGGGATTAAAGTGAGCTAATATATTCAAATAATGCCTCGCACAAAGTAAGTACTTAGAATTATTAACTGTTTTTGTTATAATAATTGATCTTTAATTCCATCTGTAAAAGTGAATTCACATATTTTTCTTTTGTTTACCTATTTTGATTTTT